TACATAAAAAGCAGGTTTGTTTTCATGCAAACAAGTTCTTGTAATTTTGGTTTTGAATGACTCCCTGGGAACTTTGTATCATGTGCTAAACATCGAGTTCAAACAACAGCAAGCAGGTAGTACAATGTTACAACATGTAACACTGACAGAAGGGGAAAGTGTCTGTTGGGGAAGGTTAACATTAGCCACTGAAGGTTAACACCTTAATGGCTTTCTCCAGTCAGCAAAGAGAGAAAGACTCCTCCACAGGGTGATTCAGAACTGAAGATTCATTTAGCTAATTTGAATCTCTCCCTGGAGTAACCTCACTTCCAAGAACTTCTCTGGAGATCTCTGGAGATCACTGAGTCCACCCCCCCTGCCAGAGCAGGACCACCTAGGCTAGGCCACACAGACAGGTCTTGAAAGTTTCCAGAGAAGGAGACTCCACAACCTCTCTGCGCAGCCTGTTCCAGTGCTCTGTCATCCTAACAGTAAAGAAGTTTTTCCTTATGTTGAGGTGGAACTTCTTGTGCTCTAGTTTGCATTCATTGCCCTATATGACAGGGCATGACTGAAGAGACTGGCCCTTCCTTCTTGACACTCACCCTTCAGATATACGTATACATTAGTTAAGATCCCCTCTCACTCTTCTCTAGACTAAACAGCCAGAGGTCTCACAGCCTTTCCTCATGAAAGGTGTTCCAGTCCCTTAATTATCCTCATAGCCCTCCCGTTCCTCTTGAACTGAAGATCCCAGAACTGGACACAATAAATCATGCTTTTCTGAATACATCCCAATATTTACCTTCTATCTGTAGGAACAGAGGCTGAAATTTGTTACTGAGATGCATAGTTGGGTGTACTGTATTTAAATCTGAACACTATGTATTGCACGTGTACTGAATTGCACCCAGCTGGAGCTTAGCACTCCTGCCACAATCACAGAAACACAGTGTACTGATTTAGTTTGGTGGGTTTTTTGGTAGTGGGGGAAGGGCCTCAGGGGTAGTAAGAAGCTGAGAAGCTCGCCCTGCTCCAAAACCAGCGAGTGACAATAGATAGGCCTCTGTGGTTAACATTCGAGACCTGATATAAGACAGAGTAAGCAGTAGAAAAAAAATAGCTGAGCTGGAGAGGCAGAGCAGTGCCAGTGGTTGGTGGGTAAGAAGTTTCCCTGCAACCTATGGTGAGACGCCAGGCTGTCCCCCTGCATTCATGGAGCAATGTGGTGGAACATTCCATGAAAGCACCAGGAGGGTTGAACTTGGCCAGTGGACTTGAATTTTGTGGCCAGTGGACTGAGATTATGCTGCTGTGGAAGATCCCAACACCAGGGGAGTTGGCTATTCCTGAAGAAGCCCATGATTCTGTGGGAAGCCCAGGCTGGAGCAGGTTGCTCAGGGGCTCATGGGAAGGACTCATGAAGGATAGGACCATGAAGAAGAGGTTCATGGCAGACTCTCCAATGGGAGGGACCCCATGTGGGAGCAGGAGAGGACTGTAAGGAATCCTTCTTC